ACCTACCCGTGAAGTGCATGGGAACTCCCTATGTACCACTCGGCCTGCCTCCTGACTGCAGGGCGAGGCAGTCCAGGAGGCTGCTCTTGCCAATGTCGAAGGGAGTCAAGGGATGCCGCTGCAGCTCCTGCTTGAGGCTGTCGTGGGAACAGGCTAAAGATAGTCTGTTCCCGAAACCCTGGTTTTGTGCCTGAGTGTTAGGGTAAGTCGATCTTATGAGGGCCCGAAAGTGGCGCCCCGTTTCAGGCTGAAAAGCCTCAGGGCTGAAAAGCCTTAGGGCTGAAAAGCCCTGTTTTAGGCTGAAAACGAAATAGGGCCTGCAGGCCCTCGTTTTCAGTTTTCAGGCTGAAACGACAGGGGTCTGTAAGCCCTTATTTCCAGGCTTTTAGGCTGAGAATGCGGGACGGGCCCTGCAGGCCCGTGTGGCTACGCAGTATGCCACACCCCCCCCTCCTAGAAAGACCGAGCTTACCTGCGAGGGCGAAGCTGTTTGTCTGAGGGAGGGACCACAGTCCGGGTGGGAGGGGCAGGTCATGAAGGTCCCTGAGCTACCCTTTGTCGCTCGTAGTGAGCGTAGATCAGCGGTGCGGATGCTTTCAAATCTGTTCTTGAAATCCGTCGAGTGACGTCGGGATCGCATGCTTTGAATGTAACCTTGTACTGTCGAGGCTTACTGTCGTACTTGCGATCCGTGATGACGCGGTCAACTTCCTGATGACCATCCATAGATGGAGGGTCCTGCGATTGTCGGCCCAGAAAGTCGTCGCTCTTAGCTGGTGTATATGTTGCCAGCTTCAAGGCGTGAAAGACTAGATGGACCATCAGATGCGGGGGGATGTTGATCACAAATGAAGGGCCATCGGGCTCATCCCCCGCGGCTGATGTTACGGGCCATGGTCCAAACCACTTGGGAAGCAGTTTGCGTGAAACATCCTGTTCTAGTGCAAACTCTTCCGCGAAGACCCAAACCAGATCACCGGCGCGGATGGGACATGGCATGCGACGCCTGTTGGCTTGCTGCTGCATGCGGACTTGAGCCTTTTGCATATTCGCGCGGGCTTGAGCCAGCAATTCCCTATACTTCCGGATGGGCTCGGCATCCACAGACGGACGAGCAAACGGAGCGGGCACATCAAACCGCTCAAATGATGCTTCGTACGCTCATCCGTCCGGACCAGAAAGATTGGGTTGACCGCCTCCCCAACATCGAGTTCGCCTACAACACTTCGGTGCACCCGGCGATCAGCGTGACTCCATTCGAGTTAGACCACGGTGGACGGAAAGGCCGTATCTTCGCCGACCTTCTCCTCCCACGACCAGCCGACATCGACGCCGCTTGCTCTCGTAGGTTCACATGGGTCACGGACAACAACCCATTGACCTACTACAAGACGCAGGATACGTTGAGCAGCGCGATCGGACGATGGACGTACTTCATCGACCAATTTGACTTCACACCGAAACATCTCCCCGACCTCTCCAATCGCGCAGCAGATGCACTCTCGCGAAGACCTAATCTTTGCGCTATGACACATCATGCCTTCGCATTCGACGAGGAACTCCAGCAACACTTCATCCGGGGCTATGAGTCGGATCCGGACTTCGCCACGTTGTATGCGCAGCTATCTTCGGATCACCCGCCGGCCAGCCACTATTGCATTGCCGACGGGTACTCGCTCCTCCACTCGAGAGGCAAGGACTTATTGTGTGTCCCACGAGACCGTCATTTTCGGACTCGCCTTCTCGGGGAGTACCATGACTCGCTACTCGTCGGCCATTTTGGAGTCAACCGCACTATTGCACGGCTTCGACAACGATTCCGATGGCCCGACCTCATTATCGATGTCACTCGGTATTGCGACTCTTGCGAAGTTTGCCGACGAAGCAAGCCCCACAATCGCAATCCCTACGGCGAGTTGTGCCCGATGCCTATCCCACGGGACCCCGGCCTCTCCATTGCCATGGATGTCACCGGACCATTTCCCCGCGCACGACGGCATCCTCACGGTTGTGGACCGTTTGAGTAAGTATGCGCGTTTTCTCCCTTGCAAGTACTACTCCACGGCTCCCGAGCTGGCATGCCTCTTGCACACCGGTTGGATTTGTGGCCACGGTGTACCGGAAGACATAGTCAGCGACCGCGACACTCGCTTCATGTCGACATTTTGGACTGCCCTCATGCAGGAGTCAAGGAGGAAGTGCCTCCATTGCTTGAGAGCCATCACGAACGCGAGCAGCTCCTTCTTCCTTGCATCATCAAGCGAATTGATGGGAGGCACTTTGTGGCTGAAATACTCCACAGGGTGCCAGTCGTCGCCGTCGTGTTGTTCCAAGACTGCCCCAATGTCATAGCCGGAAGCGTCAGTTGTCACTCTCGTAGGCAGGGTGGGGTCATATATGCTAAGGACGGGTGCCATGAGCATGGACGTCTTAAGTGCTTGGAATGACCGACGTGCGTCGTCATCGAATACGAATGGCACCTTTGGCGATTGTAATCTCGTCATAGGTGCGGCAATCCTCGAGTATCCGGTGATGAATCACTGATAGTAACCCGCCAACCCCATGAATGAACGAACGTCCGTGGTGTTGGTGGGCTCAGGCCATACGCGGAGGGCCTCGATCATGTCCGCAAACGGACGGATGCCTTGCGGCGTCACATAATGTCCCAAGTACTCCAGCTCCTGCCATGCGAATTCGCATTTGTCGCGGTTGGCTTTGTACTTGGCTTGTCGTAGCCGCTCCAAAACGGTGCGCAGGTGTTCCACATGCTCGTCCAAACTCCGGCTGTACACCAGGATGTCGTCGAGGTAGATAAGTACGAATCTATCCAGCATGTGTCGGAACTCCGTTGTCATAGCCGCTTGGAAAGTGGCCGGGGCATTCGTAAGGCCAAATGGCATAACCAGCCATTCGAAATGCCCATATCGTGTCTTAAACGCGGTCTTGTAGCGGTCCTCCTGCCGAATCTCGAGTTGGTGATATCCCGACTTGAGGTCGAGCTTGGAGAAGAATTTGGCGCCGCCCAGTCGTTCGAGAAGGTCGTCGATGCGTGGAAGAGGGCCGCCATTTCTGATTGTTTGCGCGTTGCGCTTGAGATAATCGATGCACAACCGCAAATCCTTGTTCTTCTTCCGAACGAAGAGAACGGGAGCACCGTATGGCGATGAGCTAGGCCGAATCCAGCCTTTCTCCAGAAGGTCGTCGAGTTGTGCCCGTAGCACACTTAACTCTTCCTCGCTCATTCAGTAGATGCAACCGCGCGGAGGTACGGCCCCGTCCTCGAGGATGATCTCGTGGTGGATGGGCCGATCCAGTACTACTCCGTGCGGGCCTTCGAACACGTTGTCGTAGGCGTCGAGAAACTCGGTGATGCGTGGGTCTGAAGATGAGTTCGTCGATGAAGCGTCATGGGGCGGGAGGGCGTGGAGAAAACACACCCCCATCTCCTCGATGTCGTCTCTGATGATGGAAGCTCGCAGGCTTGCGGCGGACACAACGTGGAAGCTGATCAAAGGGTGAGGAGGAGCCACCGTGCATGGGACTAGTACTCCGTTCCGATCACGAATGTGAACGGTGCGGCGGTAGAAGTTCACCGTGAGATCCTCGCTTTGCAGCCATGACATGCCCAAGATCATGTCGAATTTGGTGTCCAAGATATCGAAGGACACCACCTCGCTTGCATGCGGGGCAAAGGACACGGGGACGTCATCTATGCACCAGTCTATTGACTTGTGCGTGTGACCGTCCGCCAACGTGACTTGCGTAGGCTGGGACTTCCTCCGGACGCGTGGGCCAAGGCCGGCGCGTACCATAAAGTCCTGGCTCATGTAGTTGCGAGATGCGCCGCAATCGATCAAAGCGCTGCTGGTCGCCTCTCCGATTTGAACGTGTACATATAACAATGGTGCTTCGATGTCGTCGTACCGTTGTGTCTTGAACTCGCGGTCGATCTTCGCAATGTAGGCGTGAAGGTCGACAACCTCTACTCCGGCGTCCATCAACGGAGTTGCTACTGCAGTGTGCAAGTAATCCCGCAATTGTGCCATAAACACGTTGCAATGCGATTTTGGCAATCGACCGGACCGGGGAAGGGGCATCCATTGGAAGTCTGCAAATGTCAACGGGTCGAGCTCTTCAAGTCTTGACCATGACGTTGAATCCCCGGTGATAGATGGCGGCGAAGCTGCCGAATCGGTTGCCGATGGTGATGAAACCGTGCATGCGGTAGATTGTTGCACGTGGAGCGGTTGGTCCAACGGTGGGACCAAGTGGACAGCATAATCCTCGTAAGTGTACCGAGGACTTGCGACATTCGCATCCTCCCCAGATGTGTAGGAGGCCGCTAGCAAGGCGGCCGAATCTGGCGGAGTGAGAGGTGGAGTCGCTTCACCTCCCGCGGAACTCAGTTTCCCGAGTTGATACGAGGCCGAACATCCTCCTTGCCTTGATCCGGGCATTGGGAGGTCTTGTGCTTGGTGCTGTTGCACCAATAGCAGCAGCCATAGCGGCCGCGCCACTTGTATTCCGCCTCGGTCAAGTTAAACTTGACCCATGGTGCTGGCTGTCCGTTTCCGGCCGGCGATGCGGTTTACGCCTTCCCGTTTCCTCGGGACTCATTGTTGCCTCGCGGCTGGACAACAGCCACCTGATCTCCCTCACGTGACGCTTGGGTGGCTGCCGGGTCTTGGACTGCAGCGACATGCTGCGGCCGCGGACCAATTTTCACCTTCTCCACATAGGTTGGCTGCCATGCTGATTTCTCATGTGCAGCTGCCCTATTGGTCTCGATGATCTCCCTTGCCTTGTTGATGATTTCGGCGAAGGTCGCGTATTGCTCGCGATCACCAAGTGCAAGGCTCAAGGCGGCACATGACCGGTTGTAGAACTCACGGCGCAGATGCGAAAATGGCAAGTCAAGATCAGGCGTTGCCGCGATCTTCTGCCATTCCGTGAGCCAGTCACGTGTCGATGTGTGCCTTGCGTCATGCTGAAGAGGCGGTTGATGGCGAGCGTCGGGGCGTCGTCCACGATGAACCGCTTCTTCCATAGTCGTGTTAACTCTTCCCAAGAGATCTTGTCTTTCAGATCTGCGATGTCGACGCCGTGGACAGTTGCCATGTGGCTCAACCAGATCTGGCATCCGGCCTTTGAGTTGAGAAATAGCGCGCCGATGTACGCGTGCTTGGCGACGAACAGAATCCGAAGTTGCGTTGTAAAGCCCTCCCACCAGAGGACCGGGTCTTGATGCGTATAATCGTTGAACTTCTCGATTTGGAAAGTCGGCATCTTGTAGTGCTGCACGGCGTTGCCATCCTTGTTACGCAGCTGGTGCAGTTGTTGAACCTCGGTCTTCAAGGTGTCCAGCTGATTGCTGATGGTGGCTGGTGCAGCGAAGGTACTGATGTCGCCGAGCATTGCGACTACGTGGTCAACTCGTTCCTCCAACTGGCGGCTAGAGGGTGCACTGCTGGTCTCGCCAGCATTCGGTTTTGGTGCAACTTGCTCCAAGTCCTGTACATGGGAATGAAGTGCCCGTGTAGCATCCTCGTGCAGATCCTTGTGGTTCTGCATTGTCCGCCGGAGATTTGCCAGCTCAGACTGCAGGTGGTTACAAGTGTAAACCAACCTGGTCATGAGCTTGGCCATGAATTCCTTGTGCAGTTCCTTCGGTGTCGCGTCGTCCTGCTCCTCGGATGGTTCAAAATGCCAAAACTTGAGCCTTTCAATGCTGGTGGCTTCATGCCGCTGTAGCAGATCCTGGGCTTCCTTGCGGCGTGCCTGGGTATCTGCGTCTGCTTCGGCCTGAAGCCGCTGCTTCTCAACTGTTGCCGCCGCTTCAGCCTGTAGGCGGAGGGCCTCGGCTGCCAGCTGGCGCTGTTCCTCAGCCGCGATTAGTGCGAGCTGGGTTTCGAAACGTTGTCGGTATTCGGCAATGGACTCATTTACCAGTTGGCCTGGCATGCTCAGAACTGAGCCCGTCATGGTGGCGGGGCACTGCTGATGTGGCACTGTGGCACTGCTGATGTGGCACTGTGGTACTGCTGATGTGGCACTGTTGCTGACGTGGCACTGTTGCTAACGTGGCACTGCTGACGTGGCTTGCTGACGTGGCACTGCTGACGTGGCACTGTTGCTGGCGTGGCACTGCTGACATGGCACTATTGCTGACGTGGCACTGCTGACATGGCACTGCTGACGTGGCACTGTTGTTGACGTGGCACTGCTGACATGGCACTGTGCCAACCTGGAAGTGCATGCAAAGGGGTGGGTGGGAGGGAAAACGCAGGTAGGGTACCAACCCAACAATACTTTCCTCCCGACCCTAATCAACAGATAAAATAATAAAAAAAATAAAAGAGGACTACTTCCTTTTTTTTTTTTTTTTTGTATATCTGTCGATCTGTTATGAGTGAGACCTGTCAGAAGAGCACTATGAGCGAGATCTAGGCTAGGTTCCGCAAAGTTTCGGCTTTTACAAAAATGCGATCTTGAAAAAACAAAATTTTGCGAAATACAGTAGAGATGCGATTTTCAGAAAAGAATCAAATCCAGTTTCTGAGATATGGCAACCTCCTAATATGCCTAACGAAATGTTGGTAGGCTTCGCAAGATTTCGGTTTTCAAAAAAAATTGCGAGATAGAATGGAAATTCAATTTCCAGAAAAGAATAAATCCGGTTTCCGAGAATATGACCACTTCTATCGTTATCCTAATATGCCTAGAAAACAAAATGTTAACCTCAGAATTTTATTTATTTATTTTTTTCGAAATATCAGAGAAACGAAATGCTACTATCAGGAATTTTCAGATAAAACGAAATGCGAATATCAGAAATTTTCAGATATTTGTTGCATGAAAACGAAATACTAATATCAGAAATTTCAGGTAAAACGAAATGCGATTATCATAAATTTTCAGATAGTTGTTGCGAGAAAAAAGAAAAAAATTTCAGAGATTTGACGAAGTCCTACTTGATTTACTAATGAGTAATCAATAGGTCAAGCAAGCTGGCTACTTGATTGAGCGGGTCCTCTGAATGAGAGGTCCGCTCCGATACCAAACTGTTGCATACTGTAACGGTGCAGACCAGAACAAGAACTGACCTCTCTAACAAAGTACAAGATAGCGCAGCGGAA